ACAGGGAGACGGGAAGAGCAAATGTTTGGTGAGAGAGACAGCAGGACACAGAGAGGAATCCGAATGAACAGGTCTCCTGAGCTCCGCACAGCTTACTACACCCACCCCATATTCTCTGTAGCTGTCTCTAGTGAGAGCTGTCTTCCTGGACCCAGCCCTCTATCTAAACTCATAGAAGCAGTTAAAGGGGGAGGTAAAAAGCTCTTTCTGAGTCTTTTGGGCCTTCGCTGTCTTCAGCTAAAAATAATGTACGTAATGAAGTGGCACATTTTGCGGGGTGCTCATTCCGAACTCCTACCCATGTCTTATAGGTTTGTGCTGGAAGGAAAAGAAATTCGTATCAACATGTCTTGTGCAGTATTTGTCACCATGAACCCTGGGTAAGTATCTGTGCTAGGAGTGGAGACAGTCAAAATCGTTTTCTGAGATCTTAGCCATGAAGCAGTCGTCCGACATTTTAATGTACCATTGTACATTGTACATTGTACATTGTACCATTGTAATGTACTGCCACCGCCTGATCCCCTCCTGTACCTGCGTACTCACAAGCATTACAGTTCCGTACTTATGACCATGGGTGGTCTCACGTTAACTTTCTGACTGAGGGATGTTTTCACTTCCAGAATAGCTAGGAGAAAAGAAAAGTTTAGCCACTTGTCACAAAGAAGACAGACTAAAAAGCGGAGAGTAGCAGAAGGAAGAGAACTTGATGGTTATGAGGAGCAGAGGCTGAGCAGGCTCAGTGAACACCTGTCGAGGGAATATGTGGAGGGAACCGTCGGGGTGGGAGCGACCTGACGTGAGGCGCACCGTGGGAGGAGGCACAGGGAGAAAGGTCGGTAGAGGAGAACACTCTGGAAATGAAAAATATGATAGAAACTGTCTTAGACACTTGCTTTCAAGTGAAGGTCACATAGGACACAAACGGGGTAATTCTGGAAACTATATTGTGTGGTTCCTCAACGGGAAAAATGAAAACAGAATAACTGCTTTTCTGCTTATTTATTTCTTTGTTTTTCTTACCCTCTTAAGATATAAAGGTCGAGTAGAGCTCCCGGATAACTTAAAATCTCTGTTTCGCCCAGTGGCAATGATGGCTCCCCATTATCAAATGATTGCTGAGATAATGCTGTTTTCATTTGGTTTCAAATCTGCAAAATCACTCTCTGGAAAGCTGGTTAACATTTATGAATTAGCCAGCAAGCAGCTCTCACAGCAGGTAACACATTGCTTTTTTCAAAAGCAAGGGGATTATAGAAAACCTTAAATAAGACTTTTCTGGTATCGGACCATGGGATGACCTGGGAAATAATGGAGATAGAATCCGGTCAGCAGTTCAAGATGGCGAGCCAACATGGAGGTGAGGGAATGTGTAAAACCAGTCCAGGTTGCAAGCCTTTCCTCCAGGGCCTGGAGAAAATAATGGAATACCTGCTGTGTGAAACTGGGGACTACTTTCTTCATACGAGGAAGTTAACCTCTATAGCAGTGACTCGCACTTTTTTTGTGCTTCGAGATAATTGGGGGAATTTGTTAAAGCACAAATCCCTGGACGTTACCACCAACTTTCTGAGTGGCGCAGCCCTTGAGAATTTGCGTTTCTAACTGGTTCTCAACAGTTCCTGATGTTGCTGATCTGAGTACCACATGTTGAAAATGATTGTTCTGGGATATGCCAGCTGGATGAGTATTTGTTTATGACTCAGCATGGTTTGGACAACCAGCCACACCACCTCCAGAATGTTCTTCTTTACCCTATTCTTTCAGTTCATCTCTCCATTTCAGAGAAAATTTAGTTTAGATACTGATAGTTTTTAACAGCTTTAATACTTCTGACTTTCTCCCTTAAGAAGACTTTAGGGGCACCACTTCGGGGGGAAGTGAAAGCACTAGAAGCCAAATGCAGTCTTTCTTGATTTACAGCACAGTCTTTCTTCACAGTGTACATGATTAGGGATTTAACTGTGTAGTATATGCATTTATTTCCAAGTCATCCCATTTTTCTTTCAGAAATGTAATAACTCAGATATTTTAATGCTTTATAGGATCATTATGATTTTGGCTTGAGGTCTCTGAAGACCATTTTAACAATGGCTGGGAAGAAGACACAGGTATTTAAATGGTGAGTTGAATTTTGAATTGTTAGGTCAAACGAAGTTATGCAACACAGGGAAAATAATTGGTAAAAGTCTAAGTAACAATGACGAGATAAAATGGAGCTCCCAGAATGTTACAGTGAAATATAATAGAGGTGTTTAAGAATGTGAAAGAAGAGGAAGAAAAAAATGCACAAGATCCCCGGGGACTTTTCCTCAGAAGAACCTATTGTTTAAAAAAATGTATCTTGGGGTGCCTGGGTGGTTCAGTGGGTTAAAGCCTCTGCCTTTGGCTCAGGTCATGATTCCAGGGTCCTGGGATCGAGCCCCACATCAGGCTTTTTGCTCAGCAGGGAGCCTGCTTCCTCCTCTCTCCCTGCCTGCCTCTCTGCCTACTTTTGATCTCTATCTGTCAAATAAATAAATAAAATCTTTTTTAAAAAGTATCTTAACCTTTATATAATAAAAGATACACTGGAATAAAAGGCCTTATTTAAAAGAGCAGTAATTTAATGAGAAATGTAAAACCTATATGAATATATCTGTATGAGAAATGTGTAAAACCCATATGAAGAAAACATTTGTGAAGGATGCAAATGAAAACATGAATAAATGAAATAATACATCATGTACTTAATATAACATCTTAGATGGTCTAGCATCATAAAGATTTAAAGACTCTAAATGTTCATTTATGAATGAAAAAACCTCCCAGTGAGTATACCAAAGGTATTTGTTTATTTTTGAGCCAGCAGATTTTAAAGTTCAAATAGAAAGGGGCTTCTCAGAGGCACAAGCGGTTAAGCATCCGACTCTTGGTTTCGGCTCAGGTTGTGATTTCATGGGTCATGATCTCACGGGTCATGAGATGGAGCCCTGAGTCAGGCTTTTTGCTCAGCAGGGAATCTGCTTGAGATTCGCTCTCCTTCCATCCCTCCCACCACTCGCACTCGCATGTGCAAGTGCACTCTTTCTCTGTCTCAAATAAATAAATGCATCCTTAAAAAAAGAAAAACAGTTAAGACTAACTAGAAAGATATTAACAAATGAAAGCAATGAAGGAGAAACATTCCTTTAATTACTGAGACATATTATAGAGCTGCATTGGTTAAACACTGTGGTGCTGGCTTATGAACAGAGAGGGACAAGTCATCAGGACAGAACAGAACCCAGAGGCAGGACTGCACACGCTGGGCGTGTAGTGTGTTGTCAGTTGTGAGGCAAGAACAAACTCCCAGACTTTCCAGTGATTGTCTTTGGGAAAACTAAAGTGCCCTGTGCATAAAGATGCAGTTGGAGCCACGGCCAACGTTATCTACCTGGATAACAGGAGCAAAAGACTAAAAACGTAAAAGGATTTGAAGAAACAAAATGTCCTTTATTTTCTTGGACTACAGAAGACCTGTAAAACTAAGACCCAAAATCTAGAAGCTATAAAGGCAAAGAGTGATAATGGTCAGAAAACACTGTGCGGTCAGGAGCTGAGTGATGAACTGGGAAGAAGGCTATTTGCAGCTCTCTGGGCAGAGGGAGAGCTCATCCTCATGACACAGGAGGACTGCCTGGAGCACACGGGGAAGGACTCGTATGCAAAATGGGCAAAGGACAGTTCTCAGAAAAGGAAACATAAAAGTTTTTAAATACATGAAAATATACTCAACCCCACTCCTGAGAGAAATGCACATTAAAAATGGAAATGTTGTCTCTCATCAGATGGGCAAAAATACAAAAGTTGGGACTTTGTTGGCGAAGCTATAGGGAAGTGAGCGTTTGTTTCCATTGTTGCTAAGGGGCGGAACTCTTTGGATTTGATCTGGGGCTATATTCATGTATTACCCATTAAAAGTTAAATGAAAAAAAGTGAATATGTTGTAAGAGGGCATATCAATATGCCATTTACATGAATTATTAAAACACAGCCAGTGTTACAGATTGTTCATGGTACCTAGATACAGCACCAAGCACAGAACGCTGTGGGGAGGGGAAGAGCCAGGGGTCTGGCTTTAGCTCGACCGTAGTATGTTATTTCTTACAAATAAAGGAACTAAGGCACATATTGCAAAATGGTCTATGTAAGACTGATGGCAGGTAGATGGGTACCTGTTATGAAATGCTTTGTCATTGGGAAGAATTAGAGGCAGGAGTACCAGGAATCAGCTTCCTGACGTTCTCCAGTCCTCCAGTCTTTCTGCTGTACGAGGACCTGTTCCAGAGAGGGAGTCCCTGATCCGTGTTCTTTGCATCATAGAAAAGCCTCAGTTAGTTCTCCCAGGCACCTGGACTGGGGCTCCCACGTCCAGTGTGCTGTCAGTCTGCTGCCATGAGGAGCAGCTGTCTTTTGTCTGTCTGTGCTTGCACAGCTGTGACAGCCCGCCCCCTGGTCCCCCTAAAGCAGGCGATGTGGTTGTGTGAAGATGACTGTATTATAAAGAGGATTGGGGAATTTTTTAAAAGATTTTATTTATTTATTTGACAGATAGAGATCACAGTTAGGCAGGGAGGCAGGCAGAGAGAGAGAGAGAGGAGGAAGCAGGATCCCCACCGAGCAGAGAGCCCGATGTGGGACCCGATCCCAGGACCCTGAGATCATGACCTGAGCCAAAGGCAGTGACTTAACCCACTGAGCCACCCAGGTGCCCCTATTGTGGTTCTTCTTGTCTGTCCTTTTCCCTTCTGTCCCTTCCTCTCCCTCTGCTCTTGCCCATTCTTTCTCAGGCTCCTGGCTTTGCCTCCGAGGCATGCACAGATACCACAAATGTCCCTCATTTCCAGAACAGTCTCCCAGCAACTCTGTCTGGAAATGTTGTACTGGCAGAGTTGTTGTACTACAACAAATGTTGTACTACAGCATGCGGAGGACAGGAGGGCACCTGTGGTCTCCTGAGGGCCGCAGCCGTAGGTACCATGTTCCTGACCACCCTCCTCTGCCGCAATCGCATTCCTGGCAGACAGTGGATTGGGAAGCACCGGTGGCCACGGACCGTGTCTTCCCAGGCGAGGCAGAACATGATCCGTCGCCTGGAGATAGAGGCAGAGAACCACTACTGGCTGAGCATGCCCTACCTCATCACGGATCAGGAGTACGGCCACGCCGCGGAGCACAGGGCGGCGGCCTTCGAGGCCATCAAGGTGGCCAGCATGTCCAAGTTCCCCCCACACAGATTTGTGGTAGACCAGCTCGACCATCTCAATGTCAGCAAGAAGTGGTGCTGACCCGGAGGCAGTCACAGGGCTGCCACCTCTGGACTGATTCTGGAACCGAAGAAGGAGGAAAAATGATCCTTTGGACCAGTCTTATTGAACAGCAAGCATGAGTATAGTGGTCTGCATATAGAATATCTGGGGCTCCAAACTCTTTAATAAAACTTCATAGTTCAGTCAAAAAAAAAAATTGGCATTTTTTTTTTTTTTGTACTGGCAGAGCCTCGCTCTAACTCCCGGAGAGTCTGGAGGTGCTTATATTTAAAACAGTAGTAGGAGGGGCGCCTGGGTGGCTCCGTCGTTAAGCGTCTGCCTTCAGCTCAGTTCATGGTCCCAGGTTCCTGGGAGCCAGTGCCGCATCGGGCTCCCTGCTCAGCAAGAAGCCTGCTTCTCCCTCTCCTACCCCTGCTGCTTGTGTTCCCCTCTCTCGCTGTGTCTCTCTCTGTCAAATAAATAAAATCTTAAAAAAAAAAAAAACAGTAGTAGGAGACCGTGTATTTGCTTTGTAGGGCTGCCATAACAAATGGCTACAGACTTGACATCTTAAAGTACCTGAGACCAGAAGTCTGAACTCCAGGTTGTGGGCAGGACTGTTGTCTCTGCCAAGGTCCAGAGGGAGAGTCCTGCCTGTGATCTGTCAGCACCCCGGAGCTTGTGGCTGCGTCACTCCGGTGTCCACCCCCTCTTCTCACTGTCTTCGTGTCTGTGTGTCTCTCTGCCTTGCTCTCAGGAGGAGCGTGTGACTGCATTTAAATCGGGATCATCTGAGATAAACTCAGTCCCATCTTTTGCTGTATCAGAAAATATTCACAGGTTCCAGGGATTAGCAAGGGAATATATCTCTGCAGAACAGTTTTGTCTGCCTCCCGCAGACAGTCCCAGAAAGGAGGTTTCTGTATCTCCCTTTCGGGGAGACAGACTGCCCAGCAGCTGGAATTCTAGGATGTCCTTGGTAGAAAAGATGTGCTTTGTCAACAGCTAGAGAATTAACATCTCTTCAGGTAATCACTTGAAACACAAAACTTACCACAGTACTGGGCCATAAAGTGAGCCTTAACTAATTCCAAAGAATGTGGTAGGTATCATGAAGGCAATCAAAATGGGTAAGAAAAAAAAAATTATTTTCTTGGATTTTCTTGGATTTTAGTTGACTTATTAGTGTAGGGCTTTCATTTTTTATTCTTAAATGATAACAGATATTCCCCATGATAATCTTAGATGCCATCCCCCAAATTATTCTTGTGGAGAACTTTAGTTGAGTCTTACATTTATATATCTAACAGCACAGTAGCATAACAGTATTATTATATATAAACTGTGATCGCTCCCAGATGTAGTAGTTTGTGCGTCCATCAGTCCTTCCTTCCTTCCCTCCTTCCTTCAAGTTATCCTCCTCGAGTGTAAAGCAAGCTGTGTCTGGGGAGAAAGAATGTCACTGACCCCCAGCAACTGTCTGACCTGGAGGTCATGTTGACTCATGTTGAGTATTACTTTCCCTCTTAAGTGCTTGAAAAGAGTAATGAATTCTTTGATTAAAGAATTAGAGTGCCCGGTAAAAGTGCTCCCTAAACGTTAGCTATTAGCTGTTTTTATTAAGGATCAAAGACTTCAGATTCGCCCCTGTCCTGCTGAAGAGTTTGGACATGTGTGCCCAGGAGGGCAGAAGGGCCTCTCCCGCCCAGAGTACGTTGCTTCTTGTGTGTCTCTGCAGTCTGACCGCACGGCCTGCTGTTCCTTCTCCTGCGGGCATGTTTAATGTGCACAGATATGTGCTGAAGTGTTCAAGAGGCAACATATCGTTACTGTGGGGCAGAATATTATGCGATGACTTCTTACATCTGGAGGCTTTTGTGACAACAAGCAGAGATACCTTCAGCTGGCTTGAGCGGAAGAGGGATTCGAGGTTTCTCTCCCTCAGAATCTCCAGAGGCGGGCAGGGGAGGACTGCTCTGACAGGGTTTCAGGTCCATTTGTCTCTACAGGACCACTTCCGTGGCGTAACTCGGGCCACAGTTCCCAGCTGCATAGCCTGCAAGCCTGCTTCCCTGGTCTGCCTCGAGATTGTGAATAAATTGTTATTATTTCTTATTTGACATCAACCCGAATTCATTCCATATTTGCAGCTAAAACACGTTACTGATACAATGCCAGGCCCTGACTGTGGGGGTGGCATTGCCCTGCCTGTTCGGGACCAGCCCGGGCCTGTCTCTGGGCCCATCTCGGGGTCCCATCTGTGGGCCCTGGGACCAGATCCGCCTCACGCACACCATCTAGCTGCTTTGCAGTGAGGGACAGGAGGAAGGGCCGTGGGGATAGCCACCGCCGCAAAGGAGCAGAACAGTCCTCAGTGTCATTCTTGCTCACCTTGTCTGTTTTCTTCTTCTGTTAAAGTAACACCGGTGACCATCTTTCTGAAAAGGAGGAGACTCTGATCGTTATTGAGGCTCTAAGAGAAGCTAGTTTGCCAAAATTTCTCCCTGAAGACGTCCCATGTTTTGAAAAGATTATAGGAGATATTTTTCCTGAAGCAGCAGTTTCAACACCAAATCAGGTTGCCTTGGAGGTAATAAGACTTTTGAAAACCATCACAAATGATTTAGATGTGGAATATTGAGATAAGAAATGACATAAGTAAAAAATATTCTAGTTCTTCCTGAAACACTCTACTCATGTTCTAGTTGGAGAGATAAACATACTCGGAGATGTATTTCCCCTTGGGAAAAAAACAGCCTCAGTCAAGGAAGGCTGCTAATTACATTGTTCCCCAGTTTTTTCGTCTTTCCAAAGGGAATGAGAGTTTCCTCTTCCTACTTTAAAGAGGTGCTCTAAGGATCAAATTAGATCAGGACTATGAAAAAGGACATTACAATGTAAACTTTTGTGGTTATAAAAATGGCATGTTATGACTGACCTTGCAGTCATCGCCACTTTCTGGGTGGGGTCTCGACTTTTCTCCCGCGGCCCCCTGTGTCCACATGCTGCGGCAGACAGCAGTGCTTTCTGGACACCTGTGACCAGGCCCACAGAGCCCCCAGCAGACAGACCCAGAGTCAGCTCCCCCGACACCGGTCACACTGCCTTTCACGGTCTGGCCACATCAGGTGACCTGACTGTGTGTCCTTTTTCCTCCCGCCACTTTTTCCACCCCAAGGGTCTCTTTGCTTTCTGGCTCTTCCTGGGCCCTTATCAGCGATCAGGCCATCAAACCCATGCACTCCTTTCCCTGGGACCCTGCCCAATTTTTCAAAACACTGTTTTTTGTGTTTTTTTTTTTGTTTTAATTTTAGTATATATGGTTTATGTAGCTTATAGTTTAAACAGCCTCATAATTGTTCCTTCTTTAAGTATACGTATAAGCTATGTGCACAACCCCGTACCCAGCGGGCATAGAATACAGATTATTTTGAGGCACACATGAAGTGCTCAGCAAAAGATCATTCATTAGGTTGTGTAGGAAGGTCTGGGAAAATTTCCCTTGCAAACCACCCGGACCAGGAGTTTTATGACACGATAGTTCTTTCATGGTTCTGGTCTAGTTAGATTTCAGATCCCTTCCAGGCTCAATTTTGTTGAACTAGGGAGTGTTCTCATGGCATTCACATGTTAGAATGTTGTGTGTGGATCTGAGACAACCACTGTCTCACAGCCGTTGCAGTTTCCCGTTTCTGATGTTACCCTCCCAGCAGGTCTTATTTTCTTAGCTTGGGTTTGCTTCATTACATAGATGACCTAGAAGTGTATCTAATTGTTTTCTTCAAAAAAATGGCCTTTTATTTAATACATCTTTTTGATTTCTAACCTTTTAATATCCCTATTATTATTTTTATTTATTTTTATTTTTTATAAACATATAATGTGTTTTATAATTATATAAAATTATATAATTATAATGTATTTTATAATATAATTAAATTATAATTATATATTATAATAATATATTATATATTATTATAATAATATTATAAATACATTATAATATAATTATAATGTATTTTATAAACATATAATGTATTTTTAGCCCCAGGGGTACAGGTCTGTGAATCGCCAGGTTTACATGCTTCACAGCACTCACCACAGCACACACACCCCCAAATGTTCATAACCCAACCACCCTCTCCCGACCCCCTCCCCCCAACAACCCTCAGTTTGTTCTGTGAGATTAAGAGTCTCTGATGGTTTGTCTCCCTCCTGATCCCGTCTTGTTTCATTTATTCTTTTCCTACCCCCCAAACACCCCACACTGCATCTCCACTTCCTCATATCAGGGAAATCATATGATAGTTGTCTTCCTCCGATTGACTTATTTCGCTAAGCATGATACCCTCTAGTTCCATCCACATCGTTGCAAATGGCAAGATTTCATTTCTTTTGATGGCTGCATAGTATTCCATTGTATATATATACCACATCTTCTTTATCCATTCATCTGTTGATGGACATCTAGGTTCTTTCTATAGTTTGGCTATTGTGGACACTGCTGCTATAAACATTCAGGTGCACATGCCCCTTCGGATCACTACTTTTGTACCTTTAGAGTAAATACCCAGTAGTGCAATTGCGGGGTCATAGGGTAGCTCTATTTTCAACTTTTTGAGGAACCTCCGTGCTGTTTTCCAGAGTGACTGCACCAGCTTGCATTCCCACCAACAGTGTAGGAGTGTTCCCCTTTCTCCACATCCTCACTAGCATCTGTCATTTCCTGACTAGTTAATTTTAGCCATTCCGACCAGTGTGAGGTGGTATCTCATTGTGGTTATGATTTGTATTTCCCTGATGCCGAGTGATGTGGAGCATTTTTTCATGTGTCTGTTGGCCATCTGGATGTCTTCTTTGCAGAAATGTCTGTTCATGTCCTCTGCTCATTTCTTGATTGGATTATTTGTTCTTTGGGTGTTGAGTTTGCTAAGCTCTTTATAGATTTTGGACACTAGCCCTTTATCTGATATGTCATTTGCAAATATCTTCTCCCATTCTGTCAGTTGTCTTTTGGTTTTGTTAACTGTTTCCTTTGC